AACCACCTATGGTTGAATTATAGCATGTTATTTACAATGACTTTAAAGGCTGAAAGAGATGGAGAATTCTCTATGTCCCTAGGAAATTTCTGTTCCAGTAGTTAATTACCCTCAGTTAAACTTTGATATCATTTATCAAGGTCAAATTTTGCAGATTTCAGTTCCAAGCTCTTGGAGTTTCTTATTTGTTGGGTTACCCCTTATTTTGATAGAATGTATTTACCTATCTCTCACTTTTACAATGCCAGCTTTATTCCAAATTGTGTTTTAAAATATAAACAGTTTGACAGTAATGGTACAGAACTTAAATAGATATATATTTTTTCTATAAGATATATTTAAAAAATAAGGTCCAAACACATTGCTAATATTTATACTTAATTCCTGTTCTTTTCATTAGAATTGGGATACAGGGATTGAAGGCAAAATATGGTTCTTACTGTATCGGCTTAGAAACAAATATTCTTCTCCAAGAAGTTTTGTTTCTTGGCTTGGTTTACATAGGAGACTGATAAATGCTAAACTCAGATGGTTTGTATTATTAATTGTTTGTTTTGAACAGCAGCCACTGAGCCAGTAAACTCAAATTCAGTCACATGAACTAAACCATCCTACCACTGTTGTATGTCTCATCCATTGTGATGAACATAACTTGTGGACAGTTGGCAAACCAACACATCTAAGCTTATTTTTAAATTCTGGGGAAAAAAAAAAAACTACTCTTTATGTCTGCTAGTTCAGCCAGCACATTTATCTTGGGGAATATTTTAAGTATAGCCTAGCAGCAAGAAACAAACATCCTTTTCACCAGCAAGAAACAAAACTCCACTTTTACCAGCAGAATTTCAAAATGACATATATATCTGCAATGTAGTCTTAGAGAAGTAATAAAATATTTTAGCCAATTGAAGACCAGAACTTCATAGATAACAGAACAGAAACTCCACAAATGTAACATTTTCCTTTGCCTGTATCCTCCCTGCTATTGGGTCAAAACATAACTTGGTTGGAAAAAGAGCTTTTACATAATGCAAAAGTATTATTAGTTCTAGTATCAAGGGAGAGATCATGACCATCTTTGCTCAAATGGCTTTTTTTTACCAAAAAGACAGGAAAAGCTTGAATTTAACAATTAAACTGCTTGTATTTGATCTTTGTGGAAGTCAGTAACAGGGTCCTGCTGCCTCTAATGATAATCTGCAGTTCCAGCTCTCAAGATGAGGATAACCAGACATTTACAATTAGGTCACAGTACTATGCCTTAACATGAGTGCAGGAGGTGTAAGTATACAGCATACAAGAGGTATAAGTAACCCCTTCTCCATAATGTTTATGTACAGTGAACAGTCTTACTATGACTTCCTACACTTGCTGAGTATGAGGAAGTATGCAACCACTGGCACCATCTGTTGCAAAAGCGGTGTGTTTGGGTAAAGGAGCTGTAAGGTGCATCTGTAACTCTCTATCAGCATCCGCTTGCAGAGCTATACAACATGATATTCAATAAATGATTTAATCTGTTTGTATTTGCAGATTGCAATTAAATTATAAATAGATGGTAACAGACATGATTGTTCCTGTCTACTCTACAATGTACTATTGTTTTGCTTAGACCTGTAAAGCCTCTGAATGTAAGTATTTGTTGTAGTATAGCATTAGCCATGAAACATCAGATTAAGTTTATTAATACACTGACCTAAAGGAGAGGGATCTAACTGGGAGAACAGCTTCTTGGAGCTCTTCCTCTTAACCTAGTACCCATGGGCAACTGGTGCCTCCTGAGTCTGGGGGGAGGGGGGCACCAGATCACCAACAGCGGAGGTGTTCCCCAGCAGCTGATTGGTGATGCGGGGGGGGGG